AGAGGAAAGCATTGGTTTTGTAGGTGACGGGTTTCTAGTGATGCACCTCGGTGTGATCAGGGGCTGAGGCAGCATCGGATCGGAGCAAACACAGGACTTTCCCCCAGGACAACGAAACAAATATATATATATATACGTATATACTGTGTGTATATATATATATATATATATATATATATATATATATGCATGTATATGTCAAACAAAAAGTGATTGCCTCATGTCCATCATCTCAGATGTCCTGTTTTTTTGGTAATTCAAAACTGCAAACATACAATGAAGTCAAAGCAGATACAATAGTTTACAGCAATGTCAACATTATTATTCCTGTCGCTCCCGTCCTTCAGTCTGTGACGGAGACCTTGACCGAAGGAGGAATAAAACCAGTGAAGTCATCTTGATATTTATCACATTTTAAAAAAAACTTTCAAAGTGCCATGATGTCCTATTTTCTGCTGTGACGACGTCATCCTTCCTCTGTCTAGCAGCAAGGACTTCTTGTAGTGTTATTCCTCTCAGGCAGACTGTGGACACTCTGTCTGGATGCAGTCAGGATCCGTCTGCATCTCTTACACTGAAGAGACACTCTGCTTATTTGCTTTGGCTATGTAATGTTGATGAGACTGCCTGGAGTCTAAAGTCTTGATTTGGTCCTGGTTTCAAGGGGACTCTGTTGGACCAATGTGTGTCAATTTCAGGATTTATGTGAATCCCGGTGGCTATTAGTGGTCTAAATACGCTGTTCCTGGTTGCTGAACTCTTTGAAGTAGTCAGATTGAGTACTGCGAGTAGTCCAGGACCATAGACTGTATAAAAGATATCTGAGACCGATATCTTGTAGTCTGAATTTAGTATAAGTGTCACGATCAGGCTTTGCCCTGTGTGTTCTGTGTCTTTGTTTCTTTCTGTAGCTCCTCGCTCACCTAATCAGTTCATTCAGTGCACCTGCCAGTCACACTCAGCTCATTACTCTCACCTGCTCACTCTGCCTCCTTCACTATTTAAACCCCTGCCGCGCGCACACCCACTGCCAGATCATTGTTTGTTTTCCGACCTACCCGCCCGTTTTGCTCGTCCTGTTCCCGGGTTTCCAGTCTGCCTGTTCTGCCTTTTCCTGCCGGATTTTCCCCCTCGTCTTTTGTCTTGTCCCTGGATTCCCCGTTTGCTTTTTGGTTATCATTAAAACCTTTTTCACTCCATCTGACTGTCTGCGTTTGAGTCCTCACCATGCCCCGTGACAATAAGAACCTGTTGCCACTGCACAAGTGCTTACAGGTTTTTTTGGTAAAGTCAAGTCCATTTTGTTCAGATATATCAGAAGTGTAATACAACACGAGAAATCATAGACAAAGTTGAGATTACTGGCATACTCACTCATTCACAGCTGCTAGCCTGTCACATTCTCGCAACACGAAAGTCTTTCGGGGATCAATTCAAAACAAAGCAGAGCTTCTTCTTTTTGCAGTTCATGGTCTTTTTCTTTTGATTGATTGTAGGCGTTCAGGGTGCTCCTGCGAAGTTGTTAGCGCAAAACGCGTCACTCTCATTGAAAACAAGTACAGAAAAAGCCTCCCCAGTCTGCTAAATGGCCTTACCATTGCTGCTTTACCAACAGTGTTCCATCAACAGAATACCTGCAAATTGCTCAACCCAATGGGACCCAATGGGAGTTTTGCTCCAGTGAGTGTACAATCAAGGGAGATGATTATCCAGCACAAAGTGAACCACACAGACAGACATAAATGTGTTTTTTTTTCTTTAGAGAGCAACAAGGAATGAAGACGATCTCAATCAAGCCCTGATTTCTGAAGCTCCACCCACCGAATGAAGTGGATTAACTTCATTCAAATTCTGAAGAAGTACTTTCGTTTGAACACAATTTTTGGAAAAACAAATCAGGCTTTTTGTTATCCTCCTCGTCCAAGGCTTCGACATTCTCTCAGGCCATCAAAGAGGAAGCGAGATTCAGAGATCGATATGAAATACTGGGAGAAATCCAACCTCCACCGGCCTCCACCGGCCTCCACCCCTTCACCTCGCGCCCTCCCCTCCTCCTGTCTCAGCAGGTCTGATGCCATCCCTCAAGTGGTGAACTTTAAAAGAGAAATCCATCACATGCCCTGGGCAGCGTGGCCGCTGATACTCTTGGTGTTTATTTGGCGGTGGACAACTCTATTAGTCTCGTGGAAACGTCGGACTGATTTATGCTTGAGGAAAAAAAAAGAAAACCCCGGCAGACCCGCAGCTCTTTTGCCAACTCGGTTTCTGCCTCGGCTAATTGTTTCACACTTAGACGTCGACTACTTTAATTAATGGAATGTGTCCGAAGAGCCCCGCGAGTGGAGTTAAGTTACTGTAGCAGCTTTACAGTAGAGTTGAGAAAGCTTCCTCTGAGCATTCAACGCCAGAGTAACGTATCCCCGATATGAACCTGGACTCACAAGGCTGGACGAAGACATGATCCCACATCACGGTTAGCCTATTAGCAGCTCTACGTTCACATTAAATACATTAAATCACAACAGTTGAACTTCTTAAGCACTCAAGCTCTTTACTCATAGTCTGAGAGATGTATTTGTAAAAACAAAATGATAAAATTGCCATCATGAAGACAGGAAGGAAAATGTCACTACCTAACTGTCTCATGGTCACACTATGATGGATTTTATAATATATCTTATTGAAAGAGAATTAAACATGCAATGTCCAGTTCCGCAAGGAGTAATGTTTCCCGTTTTATCTCCTAACACAATCTTCTTCACGGACACGTCAGACATATTTATACAACATCGTCTCGTGGCCGTTTGTGACGAATCGCCGCGAAATACAGTCAATTATTTTGTGTACAGGGAGAAGAATTGTCGGTATTTTCTTGACACTTGACACAACTAACGACGTTATGGTAGGAATTAAAGGCACGTTTAGGCAACAAATTCTTAGTTAGGTTTATGAAAAGCGTCAAAAACATTATAGGCAACAAAAGCACAAATGACACCAGAATCATAGTTGGAAGTCCTGTTTGTTGTTGTTCCCCTCCCCCACACCATGAATAGTTTAGACCGTTGCGTAGTCACACGGATGTGTTTCATTTGTGTGTCCGCCTCGGAAAAGGATCCTAACGACTGTCCATTGGGAGTGTTTATGTGCTGAGCCACATACAAAATAAAAATACAATTTGTGTCTCTGACTACTTCACAAGCTGCCATGATACTGGCTGTTATAGAGTCCACGTGCTACGGGGGCCAACAAGTGTCGAACCAATGCAAAAGCTCAAAGTGAGCAACTACGGATGCGGACAATGAAACTGGACGACCATTATTGCCGGCGGCCTGCTAGGCTCGTTCCAGATGAACTGGTCCTCGGCTGGAAGGTGGATGAGATCAGGCGGCCTGTAGTTTGCATACGTTCCCATTTATTTACATATTTTTTAAATTATATATATGTGGAACAAGTCCGTCTTCAATAGCATCTGTTGTTGCTCACTTCCAGCTTTTTCATTTGCGTCGTGACTTTTAAATTAGTTCGACACTTCTCGGCCACCGTATCCTCCTCCTCTAGACAGAGATGGATTAACGATTAAAGATTATTACCATCAGTCGCCTCTCAAAGGACCCTGAGATAATATGAGCCAGACTCCATGGCGACAGAGGCAGAACTTAAATCTACAGCTGACACATTTAGTTCATCGTCGATCGACAGAAAACCAATCGGCTATAATCAATCGTTTTCGCCGTTCGAAAGAAAATGTCAAATATTCTACTAGTAAGCCGTGAAGTTTAGGGACGTGCTGCATTTTTTTTGACGATAATTGAGCAACAACTACTCTCATACTCATTAGAGAAGATAACATTTTCCTGCTGGTTAAAACTTAACATGCCAGCAATTTTCTTTTCTCTTTGCAGTCATGGATGAATCATCCTCGAGGGCTATTTTCTTAAATCCACTGCCTCTGAGTTCATCGAGAGACAACTTAAAAAATGACATATACAGTATGTCAATCCACCACATACAGGGGGGGCATTGACTTCAAAGTTTGTTGGAAATTCCCTGTAATTAAAGAGCAAAAGCTTTGCCACAAAACCAGAGGAGCCTGACGAAGTGTAACTTCACATGCTGTTCAGCCACAACACCGTCACACCACAACGCCCATATAAAACTCAACTGGATCCAACAAGTGATTGAAAGGGAAATTCAGTAAAGAAAACCCAGAATCTAAGTAGGTCCATAGATGAGGCAAACTCAACTTGCAAACATGTAATTGAAAAAGTTCCAGTGGAATCCCGGATGGATGATTTGTGGCTGTGTAGCTTCAGTGTTCATAACTCAGGGTTAAATCTGGGAGGCTGCTGGTTGCTTTGAGCCCCCCTAGTGGGACGATCCGGGCACAGTCATGGTCCCTTAATGTGGACGCTGAACATGCAAAGTGTTACTAAGCACCAGGACCTGTGGAGTGTTCATGCTCTCCGCTGCAGGGCCAGTGCTTTGCCTTTGGTTCTACTTAATGAAATCAATGCAACTCGCTGCCTCTGGCCCAGTTCAGCATTGTGCAGAGTATGTGTGAGTGTGTGTGTGCGTGCGTGTGTGTGTGTGTGTGTGTGTGTGTGTGGAGGCATGACTGAAGATGCAAGCTTCACGAATTAGAGTGGAGTGACATTTCCTGAAAGAGTAAGGCACATGATCACTCGGCCAATTCAAACGCAGATAGTGTGCGTGTGCGTGTGTGTGCGTGTGTGTGTTCAGCTGATGTGCAGATCTCTATATCTATCCTGTGACCAGCATAAGCGTGGTGAACGCGCCAACTACAAACACTGGGACATATGGTGGCGTGCACACGCGCGTGTGTGTGAGGGAATGGTGGAGGTGAGGACGGGGTGAGGAAGTTGGCTGAGAGGCGACATGAAGGTTGGATGATGCTGGATGACACACGCGCGCGCACACACACACGCACACACAACACACTATAGTCGGGCATGCGGACGCGCAGTGCGCAGCCTACCCACCATCCTGCCCGGGACCCCTGGGTTTCCCATTCGGTTCAGCAGGCGTCCTGACGCGGCGGTGAGCGGTCAGTCACCTGCAGCTCTCCATCTCTCACCCTCAGAGCGCTGAGGGCGCAGCAGGGAGGGGGGGGAGGGAGGCGTCCGGCAGGTCAGAATCCCGCAACTTGAAAGACAAAGTTTGATTCGAGGCAACAGTTTATCCTCCACAAGAACCCGAGTGCTGCTGCTGCTGCTGCAAAGATGTGTGATCCGGTCCGGATCCTGTTGTTTCAGGCTTCCACCGGTGTCAAGCGGGCTCCAGATCCGATTGGTTGCAACAGCTTCAACTTCCAAGACGCATTTATTATGCTAAAACACACACACACACACACACACACACACACACACACACACACACACACACACACACACACACACACTATATATATAATCCTATCAAAAAGAAACGGCACGCCGTGACTGCGCGTGACCAGTGTGTTCATCTGTCTGTTCACTGCTGGTTGTGATGAACAAGTGGAACAACGCAAAGAGGCGAGAGAGGCTCCTCTCTGACATTCAACAGCCGGTGCTCAGCATCCTCAGCTCCGGTGTTGCAATGCGGGTGCTGCCGCGGAGTATTTAAAAAAAAAAAACCAACAACGCTCGATTCCCGCCTCGTCGCTGGTCCAGATGTGCGTCCACCGGCTGGTGCGGACTGGACACAGTGGGATGCGGTGGGGGTGGGGGGGGGGCTGTGAGGTGTGAGTGCGCACTACTGGAGAGGTGGAAGGGGGGGAGGGAGGGAGAGGAAGGCGACGCAGGAAGCTGAATGCGAGTGTGTGTGAGAGAGAGGAGGCTACTACCTGTGGGAGGTTTTTGGTGGATCCAGTTTGGATGCCGACGCACGCGCTCACAACGCGCGCAGATGTGAGGAACATCTGTCTCGTATATACGCTGAGTAAATCCAAGAAAGATCGAATTTAAATCTAATTTAGTCATTAGGCACCAAACCAGCGAGTCCACATGATTTAAGAAGTGCTAAGGTTTCATTATAGCTGGATAGAGAAGAGGTGTGTTACCTTACCCATGGAGCCGGAGGGAAGACTTTTAAAATCCATTTAAAATCCAGCAAGAGAACAAACAATTACATGAACTCCTGGTTTAGTTTGAGCTGCAGGAAGTATTAATCCAGCCGTTATACGTCCGAACCAACAGCTGTATTAATACTTTATTGTATACATATACTTTGTTTTATGTAACAGATTTGATTTGAGATAGGGTGCCAATAAAAAGTACCCCCCCCCCCCCCCCATCCTCTCCCTTCAGGCAGCAATTACAACCATGACTCTCTGTGAATGGGTCTGTATCAGCTTGGCACATCAGGACACTTGCGGTTTTCTGTTCTTTGCATGGAGGGATCATGAGTGAGCAGCCTCGCTTTTTGTGTGTGTTTTTTTTACAAGATCTGGACTCCAGGCCATTGACTTTATTGCTTGTTTCTTTGGCTTTCATTGTCTTGCTGGAAAACAAATCTTCTCCACCAAGTGTCAGATGTCCGTACAGACTGCATCAAGGGTTTCCCCTCCAGGATTCCTTTGGTTTTTTTTTCTTTGCTGCCTTCCTTTTTTGCATCATCCCTCAGAAACCCCTTCTAGGGGTATAAATACAGAGAAGTAGAGGCAGATACACTAGAGCCATGGGGTGGGAGGCCGGCCCTCCAATAATGGAGACCCACACAGTCTCCATGTGGGTCATTCTGATTCAAAATAACTAACGCCATTTGCTATATATCGCCTCTAAAAGGCAAATCCATCTCTCTCATGGTTTCAATTTCTTGGGGGGTAAAAATAGTCAGAAGCAATCTACAGCAATTTCGCTGTCGCCATCTTGGATTACGGCCATCGCCATGTTGTTGTTTTTTTACAACCGATGAACAGAAGTGACCATATTTGGACTGAGGATCAATCACAGCAGCCCCGCCCTAAAGCATCCCCTGCTTTATGGTCTGTGTGACTCTAAATGGACCATAATGTACTAAATGAACATCATGCTGTATTGAAGAAGACTTGAAACTAGAGATTGAGACCATAAACTCATGTTTACAATGTTTACTGAGGTAATAAATCAATTCATTCATTTGTGATGATTATCTTGCTGAACAAAATGTGTCAGCGTCATAAACGTTAGTTTGGCACAGAGATTATTTCCTGCAATAATCCAAAATCCTATTGAAAAATCCCATTGGTCTTTTGTGTTGGGAACCAGTGTGATGCTAACTGCACATGTATATCCCTGCAGCCCTCTGTTCTCGTTGTAAACAATGGGGCGGGACTTAGTGTGAACCTCTGACAAATAGCGTGAAGCTGAGGCCCCTAATTGTCTCCTCACACTGTGATACAGATGCAGTCATCCCTCAGACAACGAAACAGAGAGCGCCACCAAATCAATAAAGAAATTGGCGACACCTCTGTATCGCCCCTTCGCAATCTCGCTCCATTAGCACACCTGTTAAAACAGTCAAAGAAACGCTGTGTTGGTAAAAAAAATTCATCGGGGCACACGGGGGCACGTTGGAAATCTGGAACCCATGAGCACTTAATTAGAGCCTGAATATCTCGGGACGGGGCGTCTAAAGGTTGACAGGTTTAGAAAAATGAACGGGAAGCTTCCCCATTGTGCTTCTCTCGGCTGCTCGGGTCTCATTTAAAGCACCCGAGTGTGTTTGAGAATCTCTTTGTCTTTGACTTTTCCTGCAGCCTGTTGTCTCCACATTCAGCTGGCTGCCGGAGCATTATATCCTCCAGGCCTATTTACATTTTCATTTGGAGCTTTGATGAGCAATATTAGCATACGCAGCAGCACTGGATGCTGATTATTGTACCCTTTGCTATGGAGAAATATAAGCGATGCATATTAAACCACAAACTATTTACACCCTATATAGGCACATTCTGGCACCAAAATCAGCTCTCCAACTACCTACCGTTGGACTGTAACTGTGTCCATGCAACCCTGCATTCATGATATGTATGGAAAGGGATTTTTAGCTGCCGGAGCGAGACACGACCGAATTCTCTCCGTCTGCACGGTTTGATAAGCACAGTGGAAGTGACAGAGCCCCCTCCACAATAATGGAGTGCAACACTTCTGGACTTTTTTTGGGGGGGATTTGAACAGCTTGAATTGAAAGCGGTCTGCTATGAGGCATTACACGACGTGTGCCGAGCGAACGGTCAGTGGATCTCTTGGCCCCTCTTGGCTCAGGGTAACGTGCTGCAGGATAGTGAGAACAATGCAACAACAACACACGGTTTGATTTAATCAAGCTGACTGTGTGTTTAACTGCTACGGGAGGTCTGTTTATTTGTGAGGGCGCCTGCTGAATCAGACTTAATGAGCTGCGGGTCTTGATGGAGTCTGTAGAGCAAGAGTTGCTTACTGTAGGATTCAACGATCATTTATTGTCATCTTCATATTAAAACCTCAACATGAGGAAAACATTGTCCATCAACCGTGACTGTGTTTGAGCACCAAGCATCATGATGTAAACACAGAGTCCTCCTGCTCGGGTCCACCAGAGTCCTCATGATGTAAACACAGAGTCCTCCTGCTCTGGTCCACCAGAGTCCTGCTCTCTGTCCTGATGTCCAACCGTCAAGTGCAGCTTGATCCTGGACGAAGATGGATCCAGGTCTCTGTGAAGATGTGGGCTCAACAGTCACCAACCTCCCGCTGCTTTCATCCATCGTATTTTTTTGGGACCTAACATCAGACAAGCAGGAGCATGCTGGGTAGTGGAGAAGCCTTTGGTCCTAGCTATGTTCATTTGTAATTTATTTACACTTTGTCTTGATTTTTAGTTATTGTGACTCAGCTCTCTTTTAAAAGCCGTCTCGTTCAATAAAAAACACCAAAACCAACAAACCTATAACAGAAGGACGAGTCATTAGGTCATTGTGTAGCTAGTAATTGTTGGCATCAAACTGTTAATATTATTTAATATTATTCAGAAGGGCTAATGTTTACCAGCTCTTTTAATAATATTTCCTATTATTGTCAGGAGGTGGCGCTAATTGCTAAATGTAATATATCTTTATACTAAACAATATCTTTCAGGAGGATTTTCCATTATTCTGTTTGTTGTAAGTTGTACATTTTGTGAGCACATCACTCTTAAAAAGCCTTCATTCTGTCAGAAAACATTTGGGAGACACTGATGACCGATAAGGAAACATTTAGAACAGTGAAAAAGCAAAATCATCTCTAGTCTCCTCGTGTTCAACGTTTCCTGCCATGAAGTTTAACGTTCTTCTGTTTCAGCAGGCGTCAACAAGTGTGTGTGTGTGTGTGTGTGTGTGGACGAGATGAATGGAAAAGACGGCCCCAGCTGTCCGGCCTCTGGGCCCTCTCAGCCTCCGTGATAATGGCCCCGTCAGTAATAGAGGTACGAGGAGTAATGATGGTCTGACATTACCTCTCTGTCACTGATCGGCCCGCAGCAGAGGAAGTGATGAACGATGCCGCGTTCAGCTGGCAGAGGAAACACGTCGGGAGGTTGCACCATCGAGTCGTCTCACTCGTCAACATCCTTCTTCTTCAATAAAGGGAAATGTGACGGCAAAAGGGAAATATAAATATTCCGTTGTCAAATTACAGCATGTTAGGTTAGTTAGTTCAGATGTACATGATGTATCTTTCCCACAAGGTGAGTTCAGGTGTGTTCACCTTCCACCAGCAGGTTATGGGGAGATGTGCGCTTCAGTCTGTGGCACTAGTTCTGCTTCCTGCACGTAGACAAATGGTGAGATCTATAAATCCTGTCCTCTGGCTGCTTATATCTCTCTGCAGTTGTCAGAAAAGCATTGTTTCCAGCTCTGGACTTGGATTAGTGGAAATTAAGCCACCAAGAGAAGGACGTTTCAGCCCCTGATTTTATGTGTTTCAACATGCAAAAGAGAGCAAAGAGGTAACATATCAATGACATTGACCACACAACACAACCAGCATAACATGACGTAACATAGACAAATAAATGAAATGAAACTCTGTTTCTAGAGAATTTCG